CGTGAGGAGGGTGAAGGAGGTCTTTGGGGCAGGGGTCATGAGGCACATGATTGTCCTCTTCACCCATAAGGAAGACCTGGTAGATGAGAGCTTGGATGAGTTTGTGAGCCACACTGACAACCACAGCCTGCGCAGCCTGGTGCAGGAGTGTGGGAGGAGGTACTGTGCCTTCAACAACAGGGCCACTGGGGCTGAGCAGCAGGGGCAGCTGGCAGAGCTCATGGCCCTAGTGCAGAGGGTAGAACAGGAATGTGAGGGTGCCTTCCACAGCAATGACCTCTTCCTTTATGCCCGGGTGTTCCTCAGTGATGGCTACAGTGAGCAGCAGGACCCGTATAGGTGCTACCTGGCCAAGGTGAGGCAGGAGCTGGAGAAGCAGAAGCGGATTCTGAAGGAGCAGGAGGGCATCTGGATAGCTAAAATGCTTTACAAAGTCAAGACCTGCCTGTGCTCCCACCTTGCAGTATCTTCCTTCATTATTATGTTTGGTTTGACTTTCATCTTCATTCTAATTGCCGTGTATATTACCCATTGGAACTGAGTCTTTTCAGGTGCTTTCGGCCATCACCCCACCACCCCAAAGTCTTATCAGAGCACCTCAGCAGGGTGTTAAACCCTGTGCTTTCAGATGACTATTTCAGTGCCCTGAGATCTGGTTACCACCCTGCCATGGACACTGTTATGAATGTTGAACCATCTGCTGTACCCATGTGTGGTAAAGAAGGCTCCAGAGTTATCCCTGATTGGAGAAAAAAGTTGCCTACACCTGGACAGGGCAGAAGTGAGGGTTTGAGCTAAGGTTCTCAGGCTTTGGAGATAGAAGGGTCAGCGGGGAGAGGAAGTAGAATAGAAAGGAGGAAGCAGAGCCACCTTGGGGTATCATGGACAGAAGCACAAGGACGGAGGAAAGTTGCCCAGATGGGGAGCACAAGCAAGTGTTTATGAAATTGTGGAAGTACCCAGGGTAGAAATTATTAGAGCGATTCGCACAGAGGCTGGGAGGGTAAGGAGAGTTTAGGGATTAATATCTCCCAGGCTCAGGTAAAATAAATCTATCTAAAATCTATCAGGTGGGGCTGGGAAGATGGCTCAGTGGTTAAGAGCACTGGCTGCTTTTCTAGAGGACCTGGGTTCAATCCCCAGCACCCACACAGCAGCTCACAACTGCCTGTAATGCCAGCTTCAGGGCTTCTGACACCCTCACACCAGAGGGCACCAACAAACACAAAATAAAGATAATATATATATTAAAGTCTATTAGGTGTCTGTGTCCTTTATTGATTTGAGAGCAGGTTAAATGAAACCACTGCAATAATTATAGGTTTTAATAATAAATATTATTATCCCACTTGCATTTACTACAACAAAACACCATTAGGTAGATAAAGTCTGAAAGAAAAATGTATTTCTCTTTGTTCAAGTTGTAGGGTAAATGATGTCCAGTAGCTGCCATCACAACAGGTGGGGTCTTGCAGGAAGGAAGGTGCGTGGACTGTGTGGCAGTGGCTGTGCCTCACCTCGTGCTTCCAACAGATGTGATGTCAGGAGGAGAAGCACACAAAGCTGAGAGCAGAATCTTACTTTAGTCATATGCACACCCTGTCCTCACTGTAGCTCCAAGTCAGACTCCATCGTCTCTCCATCCCTATGAAAGGACTTATGCATGAAGCAGAGGACTCTGAAGGTTTAGAAGAGAATGGGGTCAAGGGTCAGGATGTGAGTGGGGAACTGAGTGAGGAGGTCACAGGAGCAGGGTGGGTCTCAGCCCAGGAAAAGCAGGGTCAGCAGTCAAGAAGCAGAGGAAACAGAAAGTCTAAGATAGAGATACAAAGGCCAGAGGGTGGTTTTCTTGGGCTTGGATGATTGTGTACTTGACACCCTTGGCTCTCAACAATATATGCAGGCAAAAGCCACTGTGATCAAAAGGCCATGCATTCATACAACTTGATGATCACTGAATTTTTAATTACTTGTAATTTTCATGTGTGAAGTTACAGCATTTTTCTCCTGAATTCTTCAGCCATTAAAAACAAACAAACAAACAAACAAACAAAAAGTGAAGCTGGTTGGAGAACGGGAGCAGGAGTTAAGATCGCATACTGCTCCTCTAGAGAACAGGAGTTTGAATCCCAGCACTTACACCTGGTGGCTCACAGCAGCCTGTGATCCCAGCTCTGGGTGGTCCCATGCACTCTTTTGGCTCCACAGGCACCGCACTCTCATGGGCACACCCCATACAAACACACAATATACACACAAAGGAACATGAAATGATTATTATTTTTTAATGTGAAAGTCAGGTTGGGGAGAGGGTTTAGGGGGTAAAGCCAAACAAGTGTCCACATAATATCCAAGCTCAGAACTAGAGAGGAAGGGACACAGGTGCATCCCAGGGTCTCTCTGGCCATCCAGTCCAGTGGAAAAGGTGAGCTCCAGGCAGAGTGAGAGAAATACCTTAGAAGAAAGTTGTCCAAGAAAGTGAAACAGAGAAAGAAATTAAAGAAAACACCAGAAGATGAAAGGATTGATCATACTCAGGGGTTGGAACAATTAATGTTGTGAAAATGTCAATAAGTTCCAAACCAACCTATGAATTCAATATAATATTTGCCAAAAGGTCAGTGACATTCTTCAATGAAATTTTAAAAATTTGGTTTTTCGAGACACGATACCTCTGTGTAGCCCTAACTGTACTGTACTCACATTGTAGACCAGGTTGGCCTTAAACTCACAGATTTGCCTGCCTCTGACTCCTGAGTGCTGAGACTTAAGGCATCTGCCACCATGCCCAGCTAGAAAGAAAAACAAAACAAACAAACAAACAAAAACCTTAATATTCTTCTGAACATATAAAAGATCCCAGATAGTTAGAGTAACCCTTAGCAAAACAACAGTGCTGAGGGTATCACCAACCTGATTTAAAATTATATTACATTTATTACCAGCCATAGTAATGACATCAAAAACAACAACAACAAAATACAAATTTGAAACTGGCACAAAACCAGACACAGAGATGAATGGAATAGAATAGAGGAACCAGAAACTAACCCACACAAGTATAGCCATGTGTCTTTTGACAAAGGTGGAAGAAAATATACTAGAGAAAAGAAGACATCATCTTCAACAAATGATCCTGGAAAAACTGGATATACCTATGTAAAAAGAAGAGGAAGGAGGAGAAGAAGGAGGAGGAGGAGGAGAGAAGAAGAAGAAGAAGAAGAAGAAGAAGAAGAAGAAGAAGAAGAAGAAGAAGAAGAAGAAGAAAAAGAAGAAGAAGCTGCTATACTCTTGCCTGTCAATCTGTTGAAAACCAATTTCAACTCTATCTCCTTGATGTAAGGCCTGAAATTGTTGAAGGAAAAAGCAAAGCAAAGGCTTCAAGATTCAGGTAAGAAGCTTCCTAAAGGCCTGGTTATGCTTTAAGTGATGTCAGAAATTAACAGATGGAGTTCCATGGCGTTCAGAAGCATCTGTACAGCTAAGAAACAACTCACTGAGTGGAGACCACATGCAAAGTGCAGAAAAACCCTACTAGCTAGTCATTTGCTATAGGATTTATACTATATATAGAAAACAGGGGTGCAAAAGAAAGAAATAAAACAACCCAGCTGATAAATGAGCTAACACACAAATATTTCTCAAAAGATAAACTACAAATGACCAATATGAAAATGTCTGTATCACGTTTCAAGAAATGCAAATTAAAACTGTCCTGGGGGACTGGAAAGATGGCTCAGCAGGGAAGACGGTATGTTTCAGAGGACAGGAGTTTGTTTCCCAGCACCCACGTCAGGCAGCTCTTCACAGCCTGGAACTGCAGCTCCGAGGGTCTGATAGCCGCTTCTGCAGAGGATGCAGATGAAAGGGCAGACTTACACACTGCTGGTGAAAACTAGTCCAGCTAAGAGGGAGTTAGCATGAACTGAAAACATGCAGCCCATGTAACTGAGCTATATCATGTACATGATAAGGTGTATGCATTCATAACTCCAGGTCAACACCACAGAGACACCCACCTGTCAGTGTTTATTGCTGCACAGTAAACAACAGCTCAAATATGGAAAAACCTAGGGGTTGCAAAATGGGGGAATAGATAAATGAAGTGTCACACACACACACACACACACAAATATAATGGAGCCTTTTTACATTTGTTTTATTTTATTGAGAATTTTAAGCATGGCTACTGGTTACATCATTTTTAAATTTTTATTAATTACAGTTTATTAACTTTGTATCCCCCCTGTAGCTCCCTCCCTTCTCCCCTCCCCATTCCCACCCTCCCTCCCTCTACTCCACCCATGCCCCTCCCCAAGTCCACTGATAGGGGAGGTCTTTCTCTCCTTCCTTCTGATCCTAGTCTATCAGGTCTCCTCAGGAGTGGCTGCATCGTCTTCCTCCGTGGCCTGGTCAGGCTACTTCCCCATCAGGGAGAAGTGATCAAAGAGCAGGCCAGTCAGTCCATGTCAATGACAGTCCCTGTCCCCAATACTATGGAACCAACTTGGACACTGAACTTCCATGGGCTACTACTGTGCAGGGGTTCTAAGTTATGTCCATGAATGGTCCTTGGTTGGAGTATCAGTCTCAGACAAGATCACTGTGCCCAGATTTTTGGATTCTGTTGCTCTCCTTGTGAAGCTCCTGTCATCTCCAGCTCTTACTATCTCTCCCTTCTTTTATAAGATTCTCTATACACTGCCCAAAGTTTGGCTATAATTCTCAGCATCTGCCTTGATACCCTGTAGGATAGAACCTTCAGAGGCCCTCTGTGATAGGCTCCTGTCCTGTTTCCTGTTTTCTCCCTCTTCTGATGTCCATCCTCTTTGCCTTTCTGAATGAGGATTGAGCTCCTTGGCCAGAGTTCTCCTTCCTGATTAGTTTCTTTAGGTGTACATGCTTTAGTGTGCTCATCCTATATCATATGTCTAGTATCCACTTATGAGTGAGTATATACCCTGTGTGTCTTTCTGCTTCTGGGATACCTCATTCAGGATGATCTTTTCAGTTCCCACCATCTGCCTGCAAATTTCATGATTTCCTTGTTTTTTATTGTGAGTAATATTGCATTGTATAGATGAACCACAATTTCGGCATCCATTCCTCTTTCGATTTTGATGTTGGCTGGTAGTGTGTTTGTGTGCTTGGCTACTTTTTGTTTTGCTCTAGTGAGGTTAATTATTTCCTGTGTTTTCTTGAAAGTAGTTAGTTATCTTGGGTTGTATTTTTCCTTCTAGTATTTCTGTAACCCTGGATTTGTGTGTAGGTATTGTTAAAATTTGTTTTTGTCATTGAATATCTTGTTTTCTCCATCTAGGAGGACTGAGAGTTTTGCTGGGCATAGTAGCCTGGGCTGACATCTGTGTTCTCTTAGGGTCTGCACGATATCTGTCCAGGTCCTTCTGGCTTTCATAGTCTCTGTCTAGAAGTCAGGTGTGATTCTGATAGGTTTGCCATTTTTCCCTTGGAGCTTTTAGTATTTTTCCTTTGTTTTGTATATTTACTACTTTGATTATTATGTGGCGGGAGGATTTTCTTTTCTGGTCTAATTTATTAGGTGTTCTGTGGGCCTCTTGTTTGCTTATAGGCCTCTCCTTTAAGTTGTGGAAATTTTCTTCTCTGATTTTATTGAATATATTTTTTGAATCTTGGAGACAGGAATCTTCTTTTTCCTTTATTCCTATTATTCTTAGGTTTTTTTCTTTTAATGTTGCATTGGATTTCTTGAATGGTTTGTGTCAGGAATTTTTTAGATTCATTATTTTCTTTGGTGGTTAGATCGATTTCTTCCATTGTATCTTCCACACCTGAGATTCTTTCTTCCATCTCTTGTAGTCTGTTGGTTATGCTTACCTCTGTAGTTCCTAAGTTCTCTCTCTCTATGATATCCTCCATTTGTGTTTTCTTTAATTTTTCCAATTCTATCTTCAGATCTTGAACTTTTTTTTGTTTATTTTCTTCACCTGTCTGCCTGTAATTTCCTTCAATTCCTTCACCTACTTGTTTGAATATTCTTCTGTTTCTTGTATTTCTTTCAATGATTTAATCATTGCCTCTCTGAAAGCCACAGACTGTTTGGCTGCATCTTCCTGTATTTCTTTAGGGATGGCCATATCTGTTTGATTTTTATCTTCTCCTAACTCTTTATCCTTTTTATCTGTTTTCTCCATTACCCTCTTCATAAGCATAGATGTAAGGTCGTCTTCTTGAATTTCACTTATGTTAGGGTGTCCAGAGCTACTTGCCCCTGGATACCTGTGTTCTGAGGACGCCATACTCCTTTGCCTTTTGTTGGTTGTGCTTTTACATTGGCCTCTACCCATCTGGATGTCCCAGGTGTTGTTTGTTAATTTCTGGTGCCTGCTGGGGTCCTGGGGTGGGAGAATCCCCTTGGCAAGGTGCTGAAGGAGATCTCCTCAGCTTTTTGGATATGGTCAGCTGAAAGGTGGTTCTTCTCATGAATTGTCACAGTTCACCTCAGGCATATGGACCTGTGTGATAACTGTGGTGTTCAGGAAGGCTCTCCTCTCATCAGGAGAAGTCGTGAAGACAGCTGCTCTGCTACTGGGTTTCTTGCTCTGAATTTAGTGAGGTGTTGATGCTGCTCTTAAGTTGTATTTGCTGGGCACAAAGAACCAGGGAGTCTCACAGTTTCTTCCGTTTAGCTAGAGATAACTGGTCGCACCTTGGAGCAGTATCTGAGGGCTGTTCCAATGGCTCTCAGGCTTTTGTAGGTCTGAGTTTGGAGCTGTGTGTTCCAGTGCCCTAGGCTTAATCAATAGCAGGTAAGCAAGGCACTCATGCCTGCAGTAGAAGGCCAGAGCCTAGAGCCTACATGAACTCATAAACTCTTCTGGAGCTGGGTGTTCTGTGCATTGGAACTGATGTTTTCCCAGCTGTGGGGATTCATTCCGACAGGGACACCCAGACTGTAGTGTTATGGGGACAGCAGTTCTGTCTGGGATGGTAAGAAGAACATGCAGGCATAGGCATGTGGCTCTGGCTTGCTGGCGATTGGGCACCTGGGTGTCTATAGAAACCCTGGAACTTTTCCAGAGAACTTTTTTGGGGAGGGAGCATGCAGGCTGAGTGCTCTGAGGTCAGACCTGCTGTTCCCCTCACAGTGGGTTTCCACCCAACAGAGAAACTCAGTCTCTGGTGTCCTGGGGACACAGTTTTATCTGAGGCATTTAGTCAGGCACACAGGCAAGATTCTGTGATGGTGCCCGTGTGCCCCTTTCTGGGCTGGCTGCCTGACCCTGGGTGTTTTCCAGGGATTGTCTGGGAGACCTAAGGTGGGTCCCAATCATTTCTTACACCATGCGATTTTCTCTGGAAATCCCAGTCTCTAATGGGATGTTGTGGAGCCCACAGTTCAGTCTGAGACAGTGATCAGAGCATGCTGGTGAGTGGCTCTGGGCTGGGGAACAAGCACCTGGTGGAACCAGGACCTCTTCAGATGTTTAGCTGGGTGACCTGAAGCTGATTGAGTCCCACACTGTGGGGTTCCACTCACCTAGTAAACACAATCACTGGTGTTTTAGGACCCAAAGTTCTGTCTGCTGGTCACTGTGCAGATTCTGCTGGTCAGGATTCTGCTGGTCAGAAAGAGTGTCCTTCTGGCACCGCCATCTAGGATTCCCCCCAGGTACATCATTTTTACCCCCTTCAATTCTTCCCATGCCTCCCCTATTCCCTCTCAACCTCATGCCCTCTTATTCTCTAATTATTCTACATATATGCCCACAGGTACACATATGTACACATAAATGCTGAGTTCATACAGGTGAGCTCATAGATATGTGTGTTTAGGGATGACTATGTGGGACTGTATAGTCTATTGCAGAGTTCATCCTGGGAGGAGGCTGACTCTCTCTTCTCTCTCTCCCTGTCATTGCAACATGATCACCTAAACAAGACCTGCACAGGGACAACACCTGTGGACATCACAATAGCAATTTATTTAGGGATGAAGCACAATGAAATAATGTCATTTTCAGGCAATAGATAAATCTGGAGTTAATTATATTAAACAACTTAAGTCAGCTTCTGACAAATATTATATAACTTCTTTCTTCTGGATTCTAGATTTTATATAAATAAATAAAAATCATGTTTGTATATATGTAATGGAAGTTTTGTTTACTTTGAAAACTCAGTTATGTTATGTAAATCTGTCTTGTCTTAATCCCAAGTGTGGGATTTTAGTTTGGTCTTTAGTTTGTGCACAGCTGATAATTGCCTCCTGTGGGGTGTGGTCTTGGCTAGCTGGTAATGGCCTGCCTCCTGGAGCACAGAGAGTGGCGTGGTCTAGGACTCTGAGGGATATAAATCATAGCACCCTGAGAGAGAAGTGCAGCAGTTTAGAGAGACCAGAAGCAGTAGTTGTGGTGGCCTGGAGAGAGACAGGGGGAAACAGTTCAATGCAGTGGCTTCAAGGAAACTGCTTGCTGCATTTGCTGTTGACAGAGGCCCTAAAAGCCAGAAAAAATAAAGGGGTCTGTGCACCCTCTCCCCACTAACCTTCTGTCTCCTACATAGGGGTGGGGGTTGGAAGGGAGAGGTTTCAAGAAAATAAAGTTTTAAGTCAAGCACAAAATAGATAAAATGTGGAAGGAGAAGTGAAACTGTCTAGAAGAACAGAGGGGCTCTTGAGAGGGAAAAGATAGGTAGAGAATGTGGGGAACATGCTGAAAGTGCCGTGAATTTGCATGAAAAATTCTTTCCAAAGCCAGTGCTATGTACAATAAATTCACACAAACTTCAAATGATATTTTTAAATTTTGACAGAAATAAATGCAACATGAAGACTATTCAGATGCTTTCAAATGTGTAAAGAGACTTGAAATTCAAATCACTTACACAGTGGGGAAAGTTATAGACCAACTTGTGCGACAATACCAAAACTGGGTGAGCTTTAGGGCTGGGTAGTAGGGGAGCTCAGTTTCCTCCATCTCATCAGACAACACTCACAGCAAGAAGGGAGAGACTGTCTCTGTGGGTCTCCCTGGGAAAGGAGACACCTGTAGTTCCTCCCCCAGACACTTTGACTGACTGCTCCTTGGTTAGCATGGGCCTGCAGGCTCTTTTCTGAAGCCATAGTTCATAAATGAATGGTTAAGTATTTAGACCAGACATCCTTGGAGCTGAGGATAGAAGCCTGGACCAAACAGGAACTCAGAACAGCAATGTGTCAGACCAGGAGTATTGCTGGTCTTTCAGGGACCCCGCTTGAGGTTTAATAATAAAGACCTGAGACAGCTGTGTAGTTTAAAGCTGTTGGCTTTGTGCTGGGGCAGTCTCTAGGCTAGCCTCTAAGTGACCTGACCTCTCCTCTACTTTGTAGCTCCACAGGGCTCTCACTGCTTACTTCCCTGCCTTGCTTCTCCCTTCTGCCTTCCCTCTGCCTCTGTCTGCCTCTGTCTGCCTCTGTCTGCTTCTGTTTCTAACCCCTAGGATCCTTCTGACAGTTGTTTCTGCCTCAGCTCAGCCAGCTCTCTGTGATGCAAGAAACAGTGTTTACCCAACCAGTGGGGAGCTTGCCTTTTGGGAACTGGTGAGGTAGTGACAAGTATTTACATATCCTGCTAGCAACTAAAAACATGAGCACACACGTTTTCATAGACAGAAATCGCAGTGTTAGTGGGTCATCCCAACACAGGACAGTGGTTTTCTGGAAGCTGGTGCATAGAGCAATGAAAACTTTAGAAACTTCTCTAAAATGCAGAGCATCAAACATTGTTAACTATGAGCAGAACAACAGTAATGAGGATTAATATAGACAACACGAAGAAAGCACGAATCTCCCAGACTGGGACTTGGAGGCTGCGCTCCTGCTCCTCCAGAACTCGCTTCTGCTTCTCCAGCTCCTGCCTCACCTTGGCCAGGTAGCACTTGGAAGCTTTCTGTTGCTCTCTGCAGCCTTTTCTGAGGAGCTCCTGGGCATGGTGGAAAAGGTCATTGCTGTGGAAGGCACCCTCATGCTCCTGTTCCACCCTCTGCACCAGGGCCATGAGCTCTGCCAGCTGCCCCTGCTGCTCAGCCCCAGTGGCCCTGTTGTTGAAGGCACAGTACCTCCTCCCACACTCCTGCACCAGGCTGCGCAGGCTGTGGTTGTCAGTGTGGCTCACAAACTCATCCAAGCTCTCATCTACCAGGTCTTCCTTATGGGTGAAGAGGACAATCATGTGCCTCATGACCCCTGCCCCAAAGACCTCCTTCACCCTCCTCACGGCCATGGTGTCCTGGGCTGTGAAGCGTCCCAGCTGGGTCACCAGCAGCAGCACATGGGGTCCTGGGGCACACAGCAGGTAGCAGTCTCCAATGTCCTTGTCCATGTCTTGGTTCTGGGCCTTTGACTCAAAGATGGGGGGCGTGTCCACCACTAGGAAGCTCCTTCCCTTCCATGTACCCATCTCTGCCTGGCTGGTTCTGGTCACTGACTGGGCTCTAAGCCTGGACTCAAATGCTGGTCTACAGAGGATGCTGTTCCCTGTGGCACTTTTCCCGCAACCAGATTTGCCCACCAGCAGGATCCTCAGTGGCCATGACCCTGAGGTACAGCCATTTTTGTTTCTGCCTATGGGAGTGTAAAGAAGCTCAGGTATAAGAAAATATTAAAGAAGGAGAGTGTCAAAACTGACAGAAACTAGATGGGAACCAATTAGGCACTCCCCCTTAAGCTTTAATCACCTCACACCCACCACACAGGTTCGTGGGATAAAGTGCTCCCGATGATCAGAGGCTGAGCCTTCTTTCCCTGAGGAATTAATGATTTTTTTTAACCATTATTCCAGGACCTTCCTTCCGTGTAAGTCTGAGGTGATAGGCCAATGCAGAATGTCCAGGGCATTCTAGGGGTGGACATTCTGGTTGTCTGCTCCCTGACCTTCATCTCCTCCCTTACTCCCTGATCTTTATTTTACACATCACAGGCTCTTATAGTGAGGAAGTTGCTGTTACTTTGGAGAGGGTGACCATTGATGGACTCATATGGTCAGTTGCCTGGGGGGTGCATTTCTCTTGCCTTAGGCGCCTGGAGGATAGCTTGTCCCTTTCCTGGCACTGGGCAGTGGTTCCTGACTGTTGTAAAGAGTTCCACCCCCTTCTTACCTTTTACATCCTTCTGAAGTGTTTCCATTTTTTTCCTGAAAGGGGAAATATGTAAAGAGTGTTCATATTGGATTTGAATATAATATTCAACATCAAACAGAATACTTTGTAGAAAACAAAAGAACAAAGAAAGAACTGCTGACACCACACACATACTTATAGGTAGTTCTAAATGATTCAAAGGAGAAAGACCCAAGAAATTTGTATGTGTAATATGGTCATATAGTCAGACTCACACACTCACTTGTCTTCAGCCCACAATAACTGTTAATTAGGCTGGTTACTTATTTCCTACTCAGCACATGCCTGTTCTGGTTTCCTTGGGAACCCAGTACTAGAGACTGGGTCCCCAGCACCTCTAAGAGACAAATGAAATTATTTCTGTGTTCCATAGCAATGGTTCCTCCTGCTGTGCCCAGAGCTGAGCTCAACAGGACTTCCTCTGCCTGAAATGGGAAAGTTCGACTCAATTAGACATCACTTTCAAACAGGGTGCAAGTCTACAAACTAACTTTACCTTCATTGCTTGCTGTTGTAGGCGTGTACCACTTTGCTTGGACCTAAGCTTTTCTTTGTCTGAAACGTGCTCTACACCAGGTTGTCCTTGAACTCGGATCTGCTTGCCTCTGTCTCCTGGATTAGAGGCATGATTGTATTCCAGCAGAATCATACAGACCTAGAAGGTCTTTGGACGTGCTCTCTTGCCAGAACAGCCATGTTCTGAGTTAACATTCTTTAATAGGAGTCTGTTGCGGGACTGGGGTGGAGGGTGGTGGGCTGCACCAGTGAGCAGAGAGAAAGGCTGTAGAGTCAGTGCGCTGTGCTCCTGAGGTCTTCGATTCCCTGTTGCTGCCTCAGTCCTGGATGGGAAACACCTTGAGGCCATCTCCTTTCCAGGGCCCTTCCTTCCCTTCTTCCATGTCCTCACAAGCCTTTTTGTTGAGCCTTGTCTTGCTCTACTCTACTGACCACCAGTACTAGTTAAGAGATCCACTGGGAATGACTTCCTGGATTCCTTACTGGGGAGTACCTGCACTGACCTTGCTATGGCAATACAGGCCCCAGCTAGGTCAACGCTTTGAGTGTTTCCTGGTACCATGTTCTAATAGTAAGGCCAGAGTTCTCCAAAGGATCAGAACTTATAGAACACACACACGCAAGGGTATTCGTTAAAATGGCTTACACACTGTGGTCCAGCTAGTCCAAATATGGTCATCTACCAGCAGAAGATCCAAGAACCCAGAATGTGTTCACTCAGTCCACAAGACTGGATGTGTCCATTGGTCTTCAGTACACACTTGAATCCCGAGGAGGTAGGATCTGCTACCAGTGAAGAAATGGACTTGCCAGTGAGAGTGAGAGGAAGCAGGCATAAAGAGCAAGCTTGCTTCTTCCACGTCCTTTGTACTGCCTGACAGAAGAAGGTGCAGCCCAGATCAAAGGTGGACCTTCTCCTCTCAGAGATCCAGATTAGACATGGGTCTTCTCCCTTCAAAAGATTTAATTAAGAACAAATCCCTCATATGTGTGCCCAGAAATTTGAATTTTAGTTAATTCCAGGTGCAGGCAATTTGATATGTATTCAAGTTGACAACCAAGAATGTCCAACACAGGCCTCAGGATGAATGTCTAATTACAGAATCTCAGCATCTTTGGTGTGCCAATCAAAAACACTTTTTGCAATAAATGAATACCCTAGATGTTTTCTAGCTCCTCCACATATGAAACCAACCAGAGGAGGCTGGAGAGATGGCTCAGTGGTTAAGAGCACTGTCTGCTCTTTCAGAGAGAGGTCCTGAGTTCAATTCTCAGCAACCACATGGTGCATTACAAACATCTATACTGTGAACTGATGATACCCACTTCTGGTGTGCACTCATATAAATAAACAAATAAATAAATAAATAAATCTTGTTTAAAAAAAAAAGCCAAGCTCACACACAGGAAGGAAGGAAGGAAGGAAGGAAGGAAGGAAGGAAGGAAGGAAAGAAGGAAAGAAGGGAAAAAGAAAGAAAGACGCCAACCCGGGGCCACCTTGGCAAGAAACAGAAGTAAATAAACAAACTTCGGGTCTTGTAATTTCAATAGAGGATGCCAGAACCCAGCATTTATCCAGTAACTGCCAGCCTCCAGACTCATTCAATGATCCAAACTTCTGTCCCTCCATATGAGCCTGTTCTTTAAACTAATCCCTGAATACACTATCGTTTCCTTTTGCCTGAAGAGCTGAAGACCATCAGAACCAAAGCTCAGCTGAAGCAGAGATGCAGAAAACCAAACTAGACCCTCTGCTTTCCTTTGCTCTCCTTGCAAGTAAGAAAGAATAAGGAAGGCTTGAAGAAATGTCTGGGCAATGCAGCAAGTCCTGAATAGGCCTGATAGGCTAGGGTCAAAGGGAAGGGGAGGAGGACCTCCCCTATCAGTGGACTAGGGCAATAAGCATAGGAGAAAAGGAATGGTGGGACTGGGAGGGGACAAGGGAGGGAGCTACAAATAAATTGTAATAAATAAAAATTAAAAAAGAAGATATGGAAAAGTGTCTGGGGAGTAAACGGGGACACCAATGTCTTGTAGTTGTCAGCTTTGCAGTGCTCATCATTTTAACTCAAGATACAGTGGTGGGGGCTGCCTCTGGGGCTCCTTGAATGGTAGATTCCAGCAGGGCAGAGAGGAGGTGCCCCTGAGCATCAGTGGGTAGTGGAAAGCCCAGGTCAGAGGTTGGTGAGCCAAATGCCTTAAGGTATAGAAGGGAGCGTGTGTAGCCAGCAACAGAAGGGAGTGGAGGGAGATGGTGCTGATACCCTAAGCTCAGATCTGGTGCACCGTGGAGGCCCTGAGCTGCTTTACACTCCTGTGAGGTGACCAAGGTTTTGGAGGTTGACTGAAACCATGCTGAACAACACTGCACGAAAGAGTGATGGTGACACTGCCACAGCTTCCTGGGTAGCTTCCTGGGTTGTATACCCCAGCTTAGGCTGAGGGGAGGGAGTCTTCCTCCATGCTGCTGTTGCCCCTAGGTGCTGACCAACAGGGTCTCAGGCATACTAGGCCTCGGGCCAAGCAACATGTGGCAGGTCATTCCCCCCAAAATTGAGAGCCTTAAACTGCTGCTGTCTGAGGACCCAGCCTGGGCAGATAGAGGAGTGAAAGCAAGTGTGGGAACACCAAGGCTTTTCCCATCCCCCATGTAGACATTTCTCCCTCCAAGTCTTTCTCTAGTCTGAACCCACACACCTCCAGCAAAATGACTGTCTCCTTTTCTGTTTCCCAGCTGCACCCCTTTTCATCTCTGTCCCCTTCAGAGTATCTTCTGCTGGGCCACCATCCTCTCGGGGCAGCAATATGCCCTCTCCCACCCTACCAGTTGTCAGCTCTCTCCACCTACCATCCATCCTTTCCCGCATTTCTAAGTTCCCAGCGGAAGGATTGCTGTGTGTGTCAGGCCTTGGTTGGACCTTGGAGCTAGCAAAAGTGCAAGAGCTTCCCCGTGCCTTTCTAGGAAGCCAACCCTGGCAGTGCTGCCATTGTGTAGCCCTGGAAGAGACTGGAGAGGAGGGCATGTGCAGGGCACACGTGGAAGCACTGTGGAAGGTACAGACTTGAGCTGGTCCTTTATCCTCGTCTCATTGACGAAATAACTACACCATCCTTTCCCAGGCGTTTCCCACAGCATCCTGAAGACAAATGGTCCCTGGTTAGAAAAATGTGGCCTGCTGTTATAAGGACAGAGCACTGTGCAATGGCCATGGGGTCATTTCCAGGAATAAATTCTTTATTGCTTCTAACGTCCTTCTGTTTGCTTTGACTTATCTTTTTAAAATGTGTTTCTTTTTCCCAAAGCAAAAACAAAACAAAACAGAAACAAATGCTTTATGTGACCAGATCAGCCTGAGTGGTACCCTAACAACTTTCTCCATCTTCAAAATAAAAGTCCTTTCCCTCCTATCCATGCCCTCCTGTGATATTCTCCATGAAAAAGAGTGTAATGGGAAAGAAAGAAGATTAAAACTCCAGGGAGTAGGGAGATGGGGCAGCCAGTCCAGCCAATTGGTGAGCACTGAATCAGTGAGGCTTTATTTCAGTCAATATGGTTAAGAGATGGGGAGAAGGCTTACTCTCCACATGAGGAGTGGAGTTTGCTTTCCCAGAACCACATAAAAGATGAGTGTGATTGTGTCATCTGTAATGCTAGCACTGGAGGGAGGAGGTGACAGAAAGGCAGGCAAATCCCTCAGGCTTCTCTAGAGCCCTCTAGCCAACCTAGCCAGTCAGTGGGTGCAAAAAAATCAGGTGAGACATGAACAAAAATCAGGTGGAGTGATGGAGGAAGAGATCAGATGGCCCTCTGCTCCCTGAAGTGAAGAACCCAAGGCAGGGTAGCTCTTACCCATTGATGAGGTCCTGATCCTGACTGGATGAAGCAAATGTTCCAAAGGGAGGCTGGTCAAGCAGCTAGGGTTCCCTGTGGGTGATGAGTGCTGTGTGAATTTCAATGTTCCATCTTTCTGCCTCAGGTCACTAATTTCCCAGGTCATAGAAATACTGATGCTGTATCCCAAAGACTGGCTTCCACCAGCTCCTCTCTACCTTCCAGATACACAGCACAGCCTGGCTGAACAGCCATGGGGAGATTACTTTAGAAAGCTCACCCACTCCTCTTCCTCCTTGGAAACTCCTGGCAGGAAACAGAATGTCTGAGTCCTGAGTGGGAAATTAGGTTTGTCCCTTTGAGTGAGAAGACCAAAGGCCCTCAGAGAGAATTCTCAGAACACAAGACTTTTCCTGAAGTTAATAAAATAGGTAAGTGCCTTGTCCTTCAGGTTGACACTGTTACTGGTAGATTTAAGGGTAAGCAGGACACACACACACACACACACAGACAGACACACAGACACACACACACAAGCAAGCACAGGAGCCCTGATACCTGGTGGGTGCTGGAGGATCATTCAATTCAAGGTCTACACAAACTGTGAAGCCACCTTTCTATCCTAGGCAGCCTCTCATGTTGGCTTTGAGTCTCTTCATAGAAATACACAAGCCAGGACAGGAAAACACAGCTCATTAAATCTGTCTGCCAGTGGGAGGAAGATGATGTATCAAGGAGGACAGAAAGAGTGATGTGTATGGGTTTCTCCACAAAGCCATGCTCAGAGGCAGCCAGGAGAAGAGGTTGATTATTTAAAAATAATAACCAGTTCTGCTTCCTGCCCCACCCCCACTAGCCACACCACTGAGATGCTTTTGTGCAGAACAGTACTAAGAGAACATAGAAAAGCCTAGAAGCATGGCATCCCAAGCCACCAGCTTCTCCCCTCTATGCAGGGAGACAGTATGCATCTCTCTGGCTCTGCCAATTACCTCTGCCCTACAGAGGTAGCTTCTGAGATGAAAGTGGTGGCCACAGCCCACAGCAGCTCTCCAGAGCCTGCGTGGCACACCAGCCTGTACCATGCTTGAGACAGGCTCTGGTACCCTGGCTTCTGGGGACAGTGTGGGAGAACCAGGCTTAGGTTTTTCTCACCTGGGAAGACCTTGTCCCACAGAACCCATGGAGCTAGCTAGCCAAACAATGGTAAGACTTAGCCAAAGCCACAGCAATTAATGGAACCTCCAATCCCCTCTGCCTCTGCATGCTGCCCTGCTGGGCTCAGGACTGGGAGGGGAGAGCCAGGCCTCCTCACTGAAGAGCCTTTCAGGTGCCCAAGTACTCGTGTGCTTGACTTCAGGTAATTCATTTTATTCATTTGTTTTTATTTTCTCTGTCTGAGTGTTTTGCCTCCATGTGTGGATGTGCCCTTTGCCCATGCCTGGGGCTTGCAGAAGCAGGAGAGGTTGCTGGATCCCCTGGAACTGGAGCTATGACAGTTGTAAGGCTCTCTTAACTACTGAGCCAGCCTTCCAGTCCCAAGTTCAGATGCCTTTTACAATGAAAGCCTAAGCAGAAAACTGGGGTACGAGTGACACCCCTCTCTCCCCCAGACTGCGGCTGAGTGTGGAGAACTGAGCAGTCCTGTGCACTAACACACACAAGGAACAGTTTTCAGGGAAAGCCAGGCCTGACGTCCAGAAATCTGCCATATTACAACTTCAACCTTT